TTCTGCATCTCTGTAGTAGAGAAACGTTGCATGGCTGTTTCTTAGATGTGGCTTATTATTTACAAATGTCCTGCCCGTCTCTTCCCTGGAGACTGTAGAACTGCTATTCTTTTAGCCAGTGCTCTGGTGGAATATTTTTGTGTTGTATTTTGTTTGGCCAACAAAACTGCATCAGCAGTTATACTTTTTGATTAAAAAAAAAAGTGTGAGGAAGAGAGGGGAACCAAGTGTTGCCACCCTGTAGGGTAGTAAGAATACTTCGTTGTAGTTTGACCCTCTGTAGTTTTATTGGCCCAAATGAAGAGGGAACAGAGTTTGGTAATGTTTCATTTGGGTGCTTAAGTAGCATTTGCAACTGCAAACATATTGAAATATATTAATCCACTTTATCATCTAAATTGACATTGGTGTCTCATATGGCTGGGTCAAAAATTGAACTTTTAAGTATCCATTTCGACATGAGGTACCATTAGAGTAAATTCTGTACCATTAGAGTAAATCTTGAAAATGCAGAGTTGGGCTCAGTGCTCAGCTTTTGACTTTTGTTTGGCAACATCTGCTCTGGCTTCCTTCCTGGATTGCTGTCTCTGCACCTGGTGGGAAAACCTCTTCTGTCTAACTTCGTTCTGTTTCCCATTTTGTATGCATTAGCTTATAACTGAAATCTTCCCCACTACCTGACTTTAATTCTTTTCTTGTCTATTCTGACATCTCACTTGTGGATTTCCCTTTGTATCCTAGTCTGAAATGTCCCAAATGGTTGGAAGATAGCTGTCCAATTTAAATTGCACTTAGGATAGGAATAGGCTTGGACCCCAGAGAGCATGTTTACATGGTTATTAAACATAAAAAATAACTGTTCCCTTTTCCTACACAATTTTTGTTATTAATTCTGTCAGAGACAGGGTGCTTGCCAACTAGACCACAGTCTGACCTCAGGTGGGCTTGGGATTTTGTTTATGTCCTTAACACCACAAAATTTTAGGTATGAAGGTAGCTTTATGCTATCATTGGATAATACCCATCAGATTCTTTTTCCTTCTGTGGGACTTAACGTCACTGTCATTTCTTTCTATCATAACTTCCCCAGGCTACCACTCTCAGTGGATTAGCCCCGCTCTGTGCTCCCTTACCAATCTGTCAATAAATCCTGTTACAGCAGGTATCACACTGTATAGCATTGATTCACATGTGTGTTTTCCCTTTGGACTGTAAGCTTTATAAAGGCAGGAAATGATGTCTTTGACCACAAACTTCCCAGGGCCTAGCTCAAAGCCTGGTTTATAGTAGGCACTTAGTGAAGATTAGCACCTTCAGAGTAACAAACAACCCCCAAATCTCAGTGGCTTAAGACAATCCTGGGTTGGCAAAGGCCCCGTTCCACGCCGTCCTCGCTGAGGGAGGTAGGAACAGGAAGGCCCTACAGACTCGGATGCAGGCTAGTCGTTGCAGCAGGGGATGAGATGGTGACTCATGCTCCAGCCCGTGCTGTTTCAGCTTGCAACCGACATGCCACTTTCTCTCCTGTTTCCTTGATCAAAGCAAGGGACATAGCCACACCTAATGTCATGGAGACGAGGAAGGACAGCACTGCTAATGTTTCTGAAAGGAGAGAACAGGAATGATAGTGAGCAGCACTAACGCCTGGTAAACCAGCGTCTGACACACGGCAGGCACTTAGTACCCAGCTAGTGAATGAAGTGCCTCCAACTACCTGTTAGGGTTTTAATTTTTTTCTATACAATAAACAATCACTTCAAATAATGAACTAATCTAATAACTACATTTAAAAATGAACATGCTAAAATTACCTGACTATATTCAGCTGTCATCTGGAGACTTTGGGTAACCACTGTTCACCTTGTTCATATTAGGGAAGGTGTTACGTTTGATTGTGTAGTTTTTCAGAGGCAAAAAGTATGGAATGGGTAAACTCACATAATTATAATTCTTGCCTCTGTCATTTAGAAGATCTGGAAAAACTGTTAAAGTCTTCAGATACTTACATATTAAGCTGGTCTGATCAAGAAGTTCTTTAAAGTAACGTTTTTTTGGAAGAGTTCATATCTGGCTCAAAAACTGGACAAGAGTTAGGGAAAATGAGAGTGTAATCCACCTAAAAATAAAGTATCACTACAGATTGTCTGCTAGTATTTTACACTAATCTTTTTTCTTAATTGTCAGGGTAAAAACAATTTTTTAAAAATGATCCCCTTTTTTGTAAGTAATGCATGACACTGGCCTGGCTTTGCACTGCAAGCTGTTGGTCAAGATACAGTCACATATCTGTGGCTGCAGGTTCTTCTGCAAGATCCACAGTTCAGACACAGACCCAGAGCTGGGGAGGGCGGGAGGGGCAGGAGGGCGGTGGAGTGTGGACTGTCCCCAGCCTTGGCCTCTCCGTGTTGGGGTGGCGAAGGCCAACATCCCCCATGGAATGACAAGCAGTTGGTGACATAGCCCTCCCCACAGCCAGCCTGGGGCTGCTAGGAGATGGCCCTTCAGAGCCTTTGGGCCACGCCAGCCTACCTAGGCCCACACCTCTTCATTTGGATTTTTTAATTAAAAATCACTGGCAATACTACCACCTGGTAAAACCACTGCCAACTCTGTGGTGTGATCTCTTTCATCCTGTTGTTGCTGTTCTTGGAGAACAGGCAGATGGACAAGGGAGGAGAGGATATTGACTTGAATGGGGCTAACAGTGGAAATGGCAAGAAATGATCAGATTGAGAATATATTTTAAGGACAGTGTTGATAGGATTTGTTGATGGATAAAATGGAGGAGGTAATAGAGGAGTGAAGGAGATGGTGGGGGGAGAGGAGATCAGTGATGATTTGCAGGACTTTGGCTTGAACATCTGTGTAAACCACGTGTATAGGTGGGCGTGTGTATGAGAAGGCTGCACTCACTGCATACATGGTTTTTAAAATTTACTAAACATTATATGAATGTACTTTTTAATGCTATAAAATATACCTCAAAGTAAGATTTCAAAGGGTTTACTATTCACTCATATAATGTACTGTAGCTTAACTTTCTCCCTATTGTTGGACAATTAGGGTGTCCCCCCCCCATAATAAATAACAGAGCAATGTTCTCAGGATCCACGAATTTCCTTGTTTCCTCAATTCAAAAATATTTAACTTGAGGGAATTGGTCAAGATTTGCTGGAATTTCATCACGGCAAACCAACGTGTGATAAAGTTAGCTGGGAATAGAAGGAACCAAGACTGGAGGTCATCTTGGTTTCAGTCCTCCAAGACGGCATGGTGAGATAAATCTCAAGTCTGCTCTCGAGGTCAGACTTGGTAGTGCTGAGAGGGACACTTGTCTCGGTGGCAGAGATGGTCCTGTCTCTAAATAATGAAAGGCCTGGCAAGAGCCAGAGGGCAGGGCCAGATCCCAGCAGGGAGGCAATTCTAAAGGAGAATCTCAATTTTTTTGAGTTTCACTTCAAAAGATAACCACGCTTTTACCCATCAGGGCAGGGCTTTGGGTGGACGGTGAGGAACCCGAGGCAGAGCTTGATGGGGAAAGCTGCGGCCTTGTGGGGTGTGAGGACTCGGCCCGTCTCTAGAATTAAGCAGCCAAACTGTTTTTTGGTCCCATTCTGTGGATAAGAAGCAGTTCTTTCTTAGGCTGTTTTCATTTGCCCAGGAACCTGTGAGGCTGAACAAGCAAGGTGAAGGTCCTCTCTCTGTGTCTGGGAGGGAGTGGGGAAGGTGTGGCTGACATTGAAGACTCATGTTCATTGAGCGTCTCACCTGTGGGATGGTGGGAGTCAGGAGGCGTTGGAGATAAGAGGAGAAGCACTAGACGTAACCCTCCTCCTTAAACGTGTGTCTTAGTTACAGAAACAAGCTCATTCTGATGCTGATTACTAACCATAAGTGCTACTGTTTATACATGGTCCAGAGATGTGGTAACTAGTGTCTCAGGTGCCTAAGGAGATGGAGGATGTTCTTAGCGGTACCCTAGTTCAATGAGAATGTGTAAATTGTGTTTACACTTTGATGATAATCTAAAGATATTTTTATCAGTTTGAAATATAAGCATTCACATTTGCAGTGATAATTTATAATTAAAGGACATTTTCATAGACTAAAACTTTAGTTCTTAAGTTAAATTGTTCAAACTAGGGTCTAAAGCATATTCTTATGGGTGCGTCCATTTAAAAAATTTTTTTTCATCATGGATTATATAATCCTAATCTCAACCTCAAAGAATGGGTGGGTTCAGATGGGTGCAAAAGAGGGAGAAAGTTGTTTCTGTGAGAGGACTTAAGTCAAGTATGAGCACGGTGCCTTAGGGGTGCCTGGGAACTTGAAGGGGACATCAGTTTCAGGTTTTTAAATATTCCACCCTGACCCTGATCTGGCAGTAACCTGGGGAACACTCTTTCCTCTACTAATACCTGCCTTTCTCTAATGGGTGCAGGAGCTTTAAGTCTTTGTTGAGAAGGGAAGGTACTCTCATAGCCCTTTCTAAAGAACCGTCTTCTAACCCTCATGTTACTGATTAGTGGCTAACATTAAATTTTTTTTATTTGCTAGAATGTGAATTTAGTTTCCTCAGGACTTTACTTCTGAGCGGTTAATGACTCTCACAGAGACATCTAAAGGAAGAGCCGTTGCATCATCCCTTTGGGTATTTGCTAGGTTCTCAGGAAGCAGGGGGTCCTCCAAGGACTAGAACAGAGGGACATGGTCTGTTTTAGGTACCAGACTCATCTTGCACCTGTAACTGGTTGGGGATTTGTTCCTCTCAAATATCATTAATGTCCCCTTGAGTTATTTTTCTTTTGTATATAAAAAATCCCAGATTAGTGATCTTTATTTGTCTTCATTTTGCAGTACAGCTTTACTAGGTTTCTTATGAAAACAGCATTTGTGTTTTTTAATCACATCAGGTCAGACTGCAAGGCTGTTTGTCCCGATGAACAAATAGATCTTCATTGTTAAGTGAAGTTCTCTCTCTCTTTTCTTTTTCTCTACAGATTCCAACAAGATTATGGCAGAGCAGAGCCACATGCAAAAGCAGCTGGATTTACAGAATGGTAGCTTAGAGGCGGACTTTGCAGCGAATTTCCTCAAGAACGATTCACAAAACATGATGGAGAGCCTGAGCCCAAAGAAATACTCTTCCAGTCTGAGATTTAAAGCCAATGGAGACTATTCTGGTTCCTATTTAACCCTCTCACAACCTGTGCCCACTAAAAGAAGTCCTTCTCCTTTGGGAACCAGTGTCAGAAGTAGCCCCTCTGTGGCCAAAATCCAGGGAGCCAAGCAGTTCTCTTGCGATGGAACTGACAAAAGTATTTCTATGAAACCTCCCACTCCTTTACTCAGCACGTCGCCCTCTCTCAGTGGATATCCACTTGGGAGAGCGGACTTCGATCATTTTACTGGCCGGGACCCTGAAAGGTCTTTGAGGCTCGCAGAGAAGCCTCCCTATTCCAAATATAGCTCAAGGAATAAATCCCATGACAATGTCTACTTTCTGGGAGGGCTGGAAGGCCGAAAAGCGTCTGGCTCACTCCTGACCATGTGGAACGGAAGTTCCCTGAGTGATGCTGGCTCCTCGCCCATCAGCAGGTCAGGGGCGGCAAGCATGCCTTCGAGCCCAAAGCAAGCCAGGAAAATAAGCATCCAGGACAACCTGACACTTCAGCCCAAGTTGACCAGACACAAGGAGCCAGCTTCCGAAAACATCAGTTTAAGAACCAGGAAGTATTCGAGCAGCAGCCTGAGTCACATGGGTGCCTACAGCCGATCTCTCCCCAGGTTGCACAGGGCCACAGAGAACCAACTGACGCCTCTCAGTTTGCCTCCAAGAAGCTCTCTGGGCAACTCCAAACGAACGAAACTGGGGGGAAAAGGATCTACCTCATAGCATCATAGACAATGACAATTACCTGAATTTTTCTTCTTTGAGCTCAGGAGCTTTACCCTATAAAACCCCTGCATCTGAGGGCAGTCCTTATGTGAGTTCCACCCTCAGCATCCCTGCCAGTCCTCGAGTGGCTCGGAAGATGCTTCTGGCCTCCACCTCTTCCTGTACCTCTGATGACCTTGACAGGGCTTCCTACTCAGGGACCAGCCCGGGTCAGTTATTTCCTCCCGGAGAGCTGGACAGAGTGTGTGCGGCCAGGAGGAATTTCTCGTGTGGATCTGTTGAGTTTGATGATGCAGACCTGGACAGCCTCAGACAGGCCTCAGGAACCCCCCAGCCGGTCCTTCGGGAACGGAAAAGCAGCATTAGCTCCATTTCGGGACGAGATGACCTGATGGATTATCACCGGCGGCAGAGGGAGGAGAGACTCAGGGAGCAGGAGATGGAGCGATTGGTAATCTTCATCCCACTTAACCTCACTGTTTCATTGAACAGCTTCTTGGAGACAAACTCCAAGGATATATATGGGCGTGTAGAATTTCCGTATGCACTAGCCAGGTGTCCCTTCTCAGATTTCCTCCTGCTAACCTTCCTCTTCCCAGATCACTATTATTGGTCACAAGTGGATATTTTGAAGGCCTGCGTGTACCTCATGTTACATTAATCGCTATAAAGAGGTCTCACAAGTACAAATTCTTGATAAATCTAACTAAGGCAGTTGTGAATTTTACTGAATTTCTTTGAAAGTCTTATAAACTTTTCTTTTAAGACTATGAGAAAACACTGATTTGTATTATTTATATCATCAAATTGGCATGTATTTGATAAAATACAATCAGTAAAATCACAACTCATTAGAAATTAGGCAGTAAATTTTTCTGTGTAGCAAGTTATTTGGAAAATTGAAAGGTTGCCCCAATGGTGCATAAGCTTTCTTCTGCACAGTACATACACGCACCATATTCCTTTCAGCCATGTCTTAATACTAATACGTACAGTGACTCCAAACCACACAGATGGAAAAAAAAATTTATTGAATTGCCTGTGGATTTATGCTTACTGTAAAAAAATTTTTGAAAATAGTAAGAAAAGAGGAAACAGAAGAGTCCTACTAACAAATGAGAACAAACTGCTGCATTTTTCTGTGCTCTTTGCTTTTAAGCATATGTTAAAAAAAGGAAGAATACCTGTTAGATTATTTGACTCATTAGTGATTAATGATTTCCTTAATGAGGGAAGTGGCAGAATGGTAAACCTGATTTACAGAAATGTAGCAGTGTCAAAGGTATTTTAGAAAGTATGCTGGAATAAGATTTCTGAATCACATACAAAACAAGTTAATGCCCTACAGGACAATAAAATTGTAGCCTTTGGCTTATAATGAACAAAAATTTTTTCCATCTATACAAGACAGTATTTGCTTGAATTTTTAGAAAAAGATTTATTTGCATCACTCACATTTTAATAGGTTAATGTCCATCCTTATAAAGTTTCCAAATATCCTAATCGATAATAGTGAGTGAAAACAAATGTGTGTACCGCTAGAGGACTGGGTGGGTATGTCAGATGGTGTTCCAGAATGAGAATTCCTTTGTTATCATAAATAGTCTACAAAGATTTTTCATGGTCACAAAAAGGCATTATATTTGGGCTTGATTCATTGGCGTAGGTTAGAAATAGTTTTAATTAGTATATAAAAGCCTTCTTTTAGATGGATAGCAAATCTAGTGCTATACTGTGCTGAACAGTTACCATTAATAAAGCCAGAGAACTGACTTCTAGATGTTGATTGATTAAGGAATCTAGGAGAGCATTTGAATGGTTTTCATCACTCCAGAGGTCTTCCTTAAATGCTTTTATTTACTTTTCGAAGGATAGGAAACCATACTTTAAGTTCGTATCCATTGGGTTTCATCTTTAACTCTTAAAAGTATTGGTGAATTTTTCTTTCCTCTAGTTTTCTCAAATCTTCTAAGGTTCCTGGTAAACCAGGAAGTGACCTTCCTTACTGCTTGTAAGGTTGATGCCCTGTTAGCTACAAACAGATCCTAGTTCAACCTCTTGAGAGAGCTTTGTGGGTATTAGCTCCAGATATGAGGTTATAGCTCTTTTTCCTTAATAAGGGGCTTGTCATATTTGATGAAATGGGGCTTATTTTTAAATAAGACACTCTAGCTTTGGCCTCTGTCGTGTAGTCTGTTTGTCTGATTACATCCCAGTAAAAGGGAAGACAGATTCTTACTGAGCCCATGCGAATAATGTTCTTGCCATGAAAAAGTAAAGTGACTCAGAAAAAACATTTCTTCCTGAATTGTGAGGGACCAAGGAGAACAAGCTACCATTAGAAGAATGTTTCATTTAGTTTTGCGAAATTGGAGTCAACTAAGTTTAGGGTTAGAGATAGATCAAGATGAACACTGAAAGGGTATTTCCCCACCAGAAAATACAACATTAAAAATGATGCCAATAATTTTCCAAAACACATATTCACATAGAGAAGTTAGATTTCTGGTATCAGTTCAAACATCTCTATGTAATTAATTGTTCTTCTAATCTTGGGTCATTAATTTGATTTCATGAAGTCATCTATTTCTGGACTGAAAGAAGTCCTGAAAATTTGATCTAGCTTAAGCCTAGGACTGTCTCATACTTGTCTATATAATGTCAGCTCTTCTTTCAGTCTCTCTCCATGAGTCTGTTCTCCAAAATAGCGAGTGAAGAGGGCCTGGTAAAGTTCTATCCACAGGCTCTGAGACTGTCTTTCTGTGTTAAAGACATTCTACTCTGTAACGTAAGCAAGGTCTTTAGGTAAGCATGAGAGGAAAGCAGAGACTGCTCGGTGAGGGTAAGAGTAAGTGGCTCTGCTTAATCTGTGGTTAATTTAACCAACAGTATCAGCCAGAAGGAGGATTAAACAGAGTCTGCTGTGAGTATTGCTACCCCAGCTTTCTTAGCCTTTCCATTTCCATGAAATATCTTTTTCCATCCTCTCACTTTCAGTCTGTGTGTGACTTCAGCTCTGAAGTGAGTCTCTTGTAGGCAGCATAATGCTGAGTGAAGCGTTTAGTCCACTGACATTTAAAGTGACTTGATAGGTATGTACTCAATGCCATTTTGTTACTTGTTTTCTGGTTGTTTTGTAGTTGTTTTCTGTTCTTTTCTTCTTTTAGTTTCTTCCTTTGTAGTTTGATCATTTTCTTTAATGTTATGCTTGTGTTCCTTTCTTTTCAGTTTTTGTGTATCTACTGTAGGTTTTTGATTTGTGGTTACCATGGGGTTCATATATGTTTGACCTATAGCTTTATCTACTTATTTTATTTATTTACTTTTTGTGGGGGTGGGAAGGTGATTAGATTTATGTATGTATGTATGTATGTTTAATAGAGATACTGGGGATTGAACCTGAGACCTTGTGCATGCTAGGCATGCACTCTACTGCTGAGCTACACCCTCCCCCCATCTACTTGTTTTAAATTGGTAGTCACCTCACCCACATTTTGTGTTTTTGATGTCATATTTTGCATCTTCATATCTATCCTTTACCTTTTTGTTGTAGTTATAATTGATTTTACGTTTTTGTCTTTTAACTTCCATGTTCACTTATTTAAGTGATTGAGCCACAATCTTTACTATGTATTTTCTTTCCTATAAGTTCTCACTTCTTGTTGTAGCTGTTTCATTTCCACTTAGAGAAGATCCTTTAACACTTCTTGGAGGGTTGCTTTAGTATTAATGAACTCTTAGTTTTTACTTGTCTTAGAAGTTCTTTATCTCTTCTTCACTTCTGAATGATAACCTTGCGGGTAGAGTATTCTGAGTTGTAGGTTTTTTTCAGCACTGTGTATAAATCATGCCACTCTTTTCTCACCTGCAAATTCTCTGCAGAAAAGTCAGATGATAACCTCACGGGGATTCCCTTACATGTAACTTCTTGTTTTTCTCTTGCTGCCTTTAAAATTCCATCTTTAACTTTAACTTTTGCCATTTTAATTGCAGTAATTTCTTGATGTGAGTCTCTTCAGATTTATCTTGTTTGGAACTGTCTGTGCTTCCTGTACTTGGAAGTCTGTTTCCTTCTTCAGCTTCAGGAAGTTTCCAGACATAATTTTATAGAATACATTTTCTTCCCCTCTCTCTCTCTCTTCTCCTTCTGAGATCCCTATAGTGCGAATGTTACAACACATGATGTTGTCTCAGAGGTCTCTTCAACTTCTCATTTTAAACATTTTGTTTTTGTTTTTGCTGTTCTGATTGGGGGATTTCCCTTATTCTGTCTTCCAGCTGGCTTATGTATTGTTCTGTATCACAACCTAGTCTGTTGTTAATTCCTTCTAGTATATTTTTCATTTCAGTTATTGTATTCTTCAGCTTTGACTGGTTCTCTTTTATATTTTCTAGCTTGTTAAAACTGTCACTGTGTTCATCTATTCTCCCAAATTCAGTTGGCATTTTTATAACTAATGCTTATAACATCTTTATCTGGTAAATTATTTGTTTGTTTCATTAGGTTTTTTTTTTTTCAGGACTTTTTTCACTTTCTCCCATTTGAAACAAATTCCTCTGTCTTGTCATTTTGTTTAAATGTCTCTGTTTCTGTGGAATTAGCTGAAAAGTTACTATTTGCAGTCATCTTGAAGGAGTGTCCTTCTGGGGGAGCATCCCTATGCATTCTGCATGTGTCTACTGGCCTTGATGAGAGAGAGAGATCTGAAGTGAGCATGGATCACATCTTCCCCTAGGGTGTGCTGTCAGCTGCCACCTTGGTGGAAAGTAGGGCTGGAGATGGAGGGGCTAGAGCCAGAGCCAGTTGTGAACAGGGACTTCTCCTTTGCTCAGTGGCTGACACCACCCAATCAGGGGCAGGGTCAGGTCCCAAGGTACTGGAGCAGAAGCCCTTTGGGTTGGTCCAAACTGGTTCCATTCCCTCTGACTGTGTACTTTCCCCAGCAGTGGCACCTCCGCCCTAGTGAAGAGCAGGTCTGAGCAAGAAGGACTGAAGTGGAGCTTGGTTGAGGCTGGATTGCATGCTGGGACAGTCCCAGCAAGCCTGTCAGAGCCCCGGGCTGTCTCCTATTTGTTGCTTTCGTGAGCACTCACAGGCAAGCCTGCCCTCACCCTGTTCAGCGACAGGGCCTGGTAGATCTGGCTCTGCTTCCACCACATGTGCACCACTCCCCCCACATGGGCACCTTTGCCCCAGTGTCGAGCAGCAACAGAGCAAGAGGGGCTGGAGCAAGCACCTGGTGCAGACTAGGGGACGGGGGGTGGGGTGGTTGCAGGAAACAGATTCCTGGACAGTTTTCAGTCTGCTTCCTCCCCTTTGTTCCCGAAGGTAAGGGAGTGTGGGTACCCACTCTTCATGAGTGGAGCCTCAGTGTCTTACAGCACTCCCATAAGTCCTACCGGTTTTCAAACCAGCTAAGGGGACTCATCTTCCCTGTGTTGGACCCCAGG